GATTCAAACATAATTGCTAGCAGTCGTATACAGAATCTTGCATATGATCCTAGATCAAATCATGGATGAGTAGTATGCATTTGCCTTGGGTTCACCAGGGAACTTTCCTTTCAAGATCCCATTACCATTGTATGAGAAAGATTCAAACTTGAAACCATTGAAGTTCTTAATTTTCATCTAGTTAGCCAACCCATAAGCACATAATCAGAGTTATGGAATCCACATCCTTGACAACCCACCAAGAATTCCAAAGCTATTGAAGCCAAAAAGTTCAGATGATCAGGCAAACTAACTTGTTCTGTAATATCACAATCATCTCAGAGAAACACCAAATGCAGCTAAAACAAGTAGAGGGGGAGAAACGCTTACGAGAGTGCTGTCGAGAGTGGCGGCGAGAATGAACTTTCCGTTGGGAGAGAACTTGGCAAAAGACACGGCGGGGCGATCGGAGATAAGGGTCTTCAGGCAAGCACCAGTGGCGGCCTCCCAAATCTTGCAAGTCCCATCACGGCTCCCCGAAACGATCAAAGAGCCATCCCGATTGAAGTGCACAGCGGTGACGGGCTGCGTATGAGCTTTGATGACCTGGGCACATTTCCCGGTGGTGACCTCCCAGATGCGAATGGTCTCGTCGAAGGAGCCGGAGGCGATGAGATTGGATTGGGGGTTGAAATTGACGCAGAAGACGTAGTCGGAGTGGCCCCTGAGGATTTTCAGGCAATCAAAGGGGGCGCGTGCGTCCCAGATGCGGATGGTGCGGTCGTCGGAGGCGGAGCAGATGTAGTGGGAATCGGAGGACCAGGCGATGTCGGAGATGCCCTCGGAGTGGCCGGCGAGGCGCTCGTGGAGCGTGAAGTTGGAAGCGGACCAGAGGATCACGGTTTTGTCGAGGGAGGCGGACGCCAGGAGGTTGCCGTCGTTGGAGAATTTGACGCAGGAGACGGCGCGCGAGTGACCTCTCAGGGTCTTGAGGAGTCGGTATGGTTTGTACGGTGGCGCGGACTGCTGACCGCCGCTAGCCATTGACGGAGAAACCAGACAAGAAGGGCCCTGAAATGAGTTTTTTTTTTTTAATATGGCCCTGAAATGAGTTGAGGTCATTTTATTGTGATTCGGAATTTCCGGCGTCAGAATTAAAAGCAGCTGGTAAAATAAACCAGACCGTTAGAAAGATCGTGGTTCAAATTGTATCGTAAAATTTGGTCCGGAGTCCGGACCGTAGACCGTTAAGTATGGTCTGGTCTGGTCTGGTCCATGGTCTGTATTATTTTATGTTTTGATTTCTTGGTCTGGTCTGGTCTAGACCGCGGTTTACCGGACCAAACCGTGGATCCAACTAACTTGTCAATACGTGTTAACAGCCCATTCGCCCACTCTTCCAACTCCCACAACGACACCCAAGTCTCAACCTTAGTTTTGTGAATCTCGTCCCTCCTTCATTCACAACCACATTTAACTAGAGAGTAGAGATTATTGTGTCTTCATATGACATTATGTTAATGTTTATGACGTTATGGTGCAAGTTGGGATGCTTTTACTTTGTATATTTGTTATGTACTAAGATTTAGGGTATCAAAATTATTCATGCATGTTATGATTAATGTGTTAAGGCAAATAACAATTATTTTTCTTGGTTATTGGTTCAATTTTTTGTGTGGTTGACTAAACAAATTATTCATTTTTCGTTGAGTGTGGTCTATCTGGACCAGACCGAATCAGACCGCACAGGCGTGGTCTGGACCGGACCGTATAGTTTGTGGTCTGGTCTGTGGTCTATACATCAGCCTCTCGGTCTGGATCATAAACCGTATATATGGTCTGGTCTGAACCAGACCGCACCGTTTCCCAGCCCTATTTAAAAGGGTTAATTATTCTTGCGATTGTTGCACATTAATCACTTAACGTAATTTGGTTGAAATTGTAAGTTGTATTATAGGTGCACCGTCACCATTTCATGTATCAAAATGGTTACTTACCATGCCACGTAGGCAGTACATGTCAGCAAATTTGTTGAGTCATGTGCGGGCCTCATCAAAAACCTGGGCCCACCAAATTTTGGCCACTTCTCCTACTCTTTATCTTCTTCGAAACTAACCTGAAAACCTCATTCTCATCTTCCCCAAAAACGCAAAAACTTTTCCTACTTATTCTCTCTTCTTCCCCGAAACAATTGCAAGAAAGCGATTTCCTTTCGTTCGCTCTCTCTCTCTTCTTTTTTCTTGTGTACGTCTTGACCAAGACTCACGATCATGATGGCAGCTACTGTCAGTTTACCGCCATAAACAGATGGGCCTGAGGATCTCCCATCGTAGCTCAAATCGAAGGTGTTGGAGACCTTTGCACTTTCTTTCACTATTGAAACGTAGAAGAGAGAATAACTCGAAGGATGAAGTGCTAGTCGCAGAACATGGCGTCGGAGTAGTCGCTATAGGTGATGGTTTTCGGATTTGAGGCCAGAATAGGTGAGGGTGTATTTGGGGAAGTAGTTTTTTATGTCGTTGATGTAGTTTTCGTAGGAGCTACATGAGGCGATGATGCAACCGACGATGACTCAGTCGCCGAGATTAGATCTTGTAACTTGAATCCTGACTTTGGTGAGTTGGCCGACGATTTTGTGAATTTGAAATCAATTCCCCAGCAAAGCAGTCAGGAATGAACTAGAGGCTTAATTAGCCGATTGGAATGCTACGAGTGTCATGGAAGAGGGCATAAATCCTTCCAATGCCCCAATCCGAAAGCACTAATCTTGCGAGATGGTGAGTACTAATTGGAGGACGAAGAAAAGGAAAAGGGAGCTGAAAATGAGGTCACAGATGAGGAGGTGGATGAGAACATTGAGATGGAACCTCCAGGAGGGAATCTCCTCATCAATAGAAGAGCCCTCATCGTTGAGGTAGTATTCGAAATGCAACAGCGGGACAACCTGTTCCACACGCGCTGCACAATTCAAGGGAAGACAACTTCATTGGCGATTGACGGCGGAAGCTGCACCAACGTCGTCAACTTGGAGACTATGAGGAAGCTGGGCTTGAACACTATCAAGCATCACGAGCCCCACAACCTGCATTGGCTCAATGATTATGGAGTTGTGAAAGCGACGAAACAGGCATGGGTTGAGTTTGCAATCGATCAATACAATGATTGAATTCTTTGTGATGTAGCTCCTATGCACGCAGCTCATACCCTTTTGGGAAGACCTTGGCAGTACGATCGTGGAGTTACCCACCATGGCAGATCAAACTGCTATACTTTTAAGCATGAAGGAAGAAGCTTAAACTGATACCTCTGTCACCGATCGAGGTTCGTAACGACCAAAGGCAACTGGAGTCCAATCGAGCTCAAGGGAAGGAAAGGAAGGGTACAGGGACGAGTTTAATTGCCCGAAGGCTGGTGTTTACTGCTCTACGACGAGAAAGAAGCCCACACCGGCCCGAGAGGCAGCAGCTCTGTTCCTCGTCGACAGCGAGACAGAGGAGGAGAGAGGGTCTATTGGGTGGAGACTTGGGAAGCAAGTCAATCCATTCCGATGGTGCAGAAACCTTCCCTGAACCACTATGAAGCTCTCACATGAATCCATTGGCATCGATTCAACCTCAATCAATGGATCGGATTTGAGCCAAAAAGCCCCTGGAAACGAGCAAACACGACCAAAATTCGGGGTTATTGGTTGGAGAGTTTGGGCACGATTTGATCCAAATTGCTAATGCGGAATCCATGAGGGAAGTCCCAAGAAGCTGTAGAAATTGTCAATTGAATGTGGCGATACCTGAAATCAAAAGCCCCAAAATCGAAATCGGAAAACTGGGTTTCTTCTTTTTGAATGACAACGATGGCGGGAAACTTCAAGTTGGCGATTCGACATTGATGGAGGAGAGACAACACTGGAATCCGGTACAGAAATGTGATTGGAAGCGAGGCGAATCTCGAGAAAGTGTCGAATTGTGCTGGAGATCCTTAAGGACGAAAACCCCAATCTGCTCGACAAAGAACAGTGTTCTCGAGTTCAAGCACAAGGTGTTCGAGCAGCCGACATTGGATCCGATTTGGGATCAATTTTGTGATTCTTTGGAAGCAAAGAATGCCCAAACTTCGAGGGCAAAGCTTTTTCAACAGGGGGGCTGATATGATCCCAAATTGCTTGACATTGAAGCTTTCATGGATTGATCAAGAAGCAAGGTCATTGAGGAACAAAGAACATAACGTTTGTCTAAGTGTTTTTTATGTTTCAGGTTACCAACTTTGGAGGCTTGGTTCGTTCAATTCATTCAATGGAAATTCGAGTTTGATGGATTATTTTGAAGGTGGAGTATCTCTATGCAAGATGGAGGGCCTAGAAATTCAAAATGAAGTATGGAAGGCCATGGTTGAAGCTCTCCAAGTTGTCAAGTCAAAACCGAGAATCAGCCTATTTTTTGGCCAAGGCAAATGACGAGTTCAAGGTGCCTGCTTTGGAGCCTAATATCTGGAGTTTGGGACACATCCAGATGCTGATTCGAGTTGGGATGGAAACTATAGCACTTTCTAAACCCAGGGAAGGAATTGGATGAGATTGAATTAGGTTAATTTTACGTGGTCTTTAGCTTTGTTTGCGTTTGTTTAAGCCTATAAAAGGCCTCCATCGTGTATTGAACAATTCAGAGTTGAAATTGAGTAGAAAACCCCTTTCAAACTTGTTCGTTGTGAGTTTGTTTTAGTTTTGGTTGCGATCAAAGCTTGCTGAACCCTAGCCCATTGATTGATTAATCACGCTCAATTACATCGAAGGCATCGACATAACGATTGTATAATCTTCCTAGTGTGAGATTCCCCTTTCGTTTCCATCAATTTCGTCTCAAACAAGCTTATAACCGAGCTTGTTTGAAACTTTATTTTTTTAGTGTCATGTTTTACCTCGAGAAGCTGAGCAATTCTGATCAAAACACCTTCCTCGGGTGTTACCCCTTTTCACACTGATAAAATGTCCAAGATAATCCATCTGTCTTTCGCCCAAATGAGCATTTGGATGGTTTAACGTATAAAGTGTTCTGTCTCAGTAGTCCACGAGGCTAAGTGTTTTGTGTAATTTTAAGCTGCAGCTATCAGATCATCATCAATGAGATGGGTTGTGTCTTGCCAGTATGATTCCCCGCTCTGTGGTTCACTTGGCAGTTGGTACTCACACAAACATACAAAATGACCATTTACAAGCTTTTCCAGCATCAAATTAAAGAGTAATCAGAACAAAGAAGATACAACTCGCCAAGAGACATGAAGCCATGAACTCTTGGCTGATTACTCCAAATACATCCAACTGAGATTACAAGGGCATATGAGTGTTCAAAACTCATTTAATTGACTCCTCTTCAAACCAAATGTATCTTCATCACCACTCGTCACTCTCTTTCTTCGTTCAGCGATCATCTCTGAGTAAGCCTGCCATAGGTAACAGTGAGGAAATTCAAAAACCAATCTCATTCCTTGCTGCTACAACACATACAGAATACGACTCTATCCAGAAGGACTGATCAACGCCATTGAGGTAGAGATCCTCCATTGCAGCTTTGCTATACTAATGATCATTGTAGAACTTTGACATGAAACCTTTGGGTGATTCTTATAAGCAATTAGACAGAGGTCAAAACCCAAAACATATCCCAAGTACTGCTATTCCCTAACTATACTTGATACTTTCCTAACATTGACATCCATCCTTACTGGCACAAAACCTACATGGCATGAAACGCAATAAGTTCGATTCGCATGCATACATAGACAGGAATAGCAAAGAAGAAGAGCAGCAACATAGTACCTTGGGATAAGAATAGAGGAAAATGTACCACCAAGCAGATATTAAGGTGAGAACAACCAAAGTGATTGCAACTGACTGCAAAATCACCCAGCTAGCACCGGTTATCAGTACCCCTGTTAGAGTTATAGTCCAGGGTTGGCACCTACATCACCAACACAAAGGCTTTAGAAGATTTCAACCATCAATCAACTATGATCAAGAAATGAAACTTGGCCAGTTGCAAGTCTCAAACAAATAATGCTCAAGGCGATAACCAGAGCCCAGCCATCACTGATTGAACGTCAGATGCAGAGTTAGACAAATTCAGTACCACAGAAGAAAGTATCATCATCTTTCAAGCAGTACGAAGATTGACTGGAGATACAATTGGCCCAGGACAGTACTATTTATGACAACAAGCACACAGCTAGAAACAACCCACGATTAGAACATGCAAAACCATAGACAAACACAAACCCATTAAATTGTGATTGAGACATTGTCAATATCCAACTAGCATACGCAATTCAGTTTCTACTTAAGCTTCAAATCAAGGGTTTGATACAATTCACAAAAAGAAAAAGGGAAAGGATTTGGTGAGCAGGAAGAAATCAAAAAATTTGCACTACCAAGATGGTTTGGTGTCCCAGACAGAATCGTATTCGAGCGAGAGATAGTTGAGATAGCCATCCATGTCTTCCACCACACCATTCTTATCCATGTACTGGGACCCGTCTGGTGGTGGGACGCCGGCATTATTTCTACCGCCATGGACGACTACTACGGCTCTGCTGGGATTCAGGGGCTTCTTCAAAGGGTAGCGACGCCATGTCTGGAGGGTTGAGGATGGTAAGCAGCAACTGCGACTTTGTGGGGAACAAACCAGCGGGCAAGGCAAAGGCAAAAATGGCGATAGAGTTCCCATTTTCAGGTTCTGGAAGAAAAGAAAAGGAGGAGGGGGCAAAAGCTTTTCCGGCTCATCCTGGCCTGGAAATGAAAAGCTCGTTTGGATTGGGGGAAAAACCTAATACGACGGCGTTTATGTTACTTCATTTTCGACCTCTTTCTTTGCCCCATTTTTGTTTCTTTTTCCACAAGTGGTAATACGGCAGCCTATCGAGAACTTCCTGACTTTCCAAGAGAGAAAATCACAGTCGAGAATCGACAACACGAACCAAAAGGGGGAGAAAATCCCAGAATACACTAGTTAGTAAAAAAATTCTCAAAATACAGTACTTATGAATATATTTTCCAAAATACAACAGTTTGAGCATTACCACTGTAGACCAAGACAGTAAAAATCATCACCGCTGTCGTCCAAAACGGGGAAGTGGCGCGGATCGCTAACATGGACACGCGCGGACACTTCACCGTTAATCACAAAAAGGGAACAATACAAGTGTCATTCTCCTGAAACCAAATAAACTTCTGTAATAAATTTTCATAGATCGAAAGTAATCTCTTATACAACTCGATGCAAATTACAGTGGCATTCTTCAACCAAATCATTCCTCCAAGCATACAAAATAAACGAGAAAACAAGACCTTGTATTTGGTAATCTCTGAACCTCTGTGATTCAGACATAGTCAAAGCAGAAGGATCAAACATCGGCAGTCCGTTCCACAGTTTCTCAGCAGATACGCAAGTTTGGAACTTGAACATCTGCACTACCCAACAACCAGTCATGACATCCCAAACAACCTCAACTGGCCTGGGAGAATCATCGACTAGTATTGTCCCATTGTTGCGAAGCTTCCACTTCAATCTCCTGATCTGCATCACCACTTCACTGTAAACCCTAAGAACAAGACAAGGGTCCTTGAGCATATCGACAGTGTCGCACTCAATAGCAACCATCATGCAATCTCGCCCATCCCCACAGAACTGAGGTTTCGCACCATAAAAGTTCCTCCCGAAAATGTGTTCCTTCTTGGCAATGAAGACGGGTGTTGGAGTGAAGAAGAGCTCCATCACCGTCGAATTTCTTACAGGCTTCCTTCTTCAAATCCCCGAAAAGATGTCCCCTGCACCACAAATCAATATTGAAACCATGATCGTACTTTAAGTAATCTTCTACAAACCCAGGATCCAACAGAATTCTCCTTCAATCCCCAAATAGTTCTTCCCTTTAATTAATCAACATTTTGAGACCCAGGCAACCCAGAGGCCAGAAGGTACCCCCTGCATGAGAAGTAGCCTCAGGAGACGGGCCACACATTCCAGCCCCCTCCCCTCCTTTTCGGCTGAACAAGCAATTTCCAAGCAACTTTCGCCTTAACAGATCTCTTGTATACTGGAAATAATCTTTTTGAGAAACTTAAAACTAGCCAACCAAAACTGAAGCAATGCATATAAAACTGATGACACTAATTGTACTCATCATCAAATTGCTTGTTCATGAAGCACATATTTTAGGGGGAAATCATGACACTTGAACGAAAAACATAACTATTCAACCTTTGACATAGAATAGAAAAGATATTGCTGACAGTTGCTAGGCCGGCAGACCGCAGCAGGCTAGGCAACACAAGATAGCAAACCTGCAACCTCACTTGTGGCAGTGACGAATCAGGCGGAGCTCAAATGCAAAGTAGAAGGCTAAGACTTCCCAACTTGCCCATGTCCCTCCCAGCCGTTGGTTTAGGGGGACGATGGTCAGAATAGCATACACAAGCCCAATTGCAGTTACAACACCTGACATGCAACTTGCTGCCACTAAATGCCTCAAATGAGTCCCCATCTCTGCTAAATGACTACTATTGCGAGTGGGAATTTGCATAAGAACAAGCAACATTGGTTGTATTGTAACAGTAGCTCACAAGAGCAGACAACATGCTTCAAAGAGGCTAGGAATTCAAGCAACCATACGTCATAAAGATCCATTAAATACTTCAACCTCTAAGCTAACTCAACTGCTCTGCTGCAGCAACATAAGTTTTCACTTCAGAACCGCTTCCATTCAAAGGGACTACATCAACATGCTTAGTCCTTCATAAAGATCCATTAAATACTTCAACCTCTAAGCTAACTCAACTGCTCTGCTGCAGCAACATAAGTTTTCACTTCAGAACCGCTTCCATTCAAAGGGACTACATCAACATGCTTAGTCCTTCATATACTGGTAACTACCAAGATCAAGTTCAACGATGAAGTCATTACCAAGCAAACAACAAAGACAAATTAAAAGATCAAACATATTTCAAATTTAGAAAAAGTTACACCAATGAAGCATCCGGTGCACAACTGAATCATTCTTGGAAAAGCTTCTGCACTTTCACAATCATACTCATGCAAATTTCAAAACAACATGGAACAAGTACTACACACCTCGGCTCTCGTATGCTCAATCATCAGCTTCATCGGATCCTTTTGCACCAAATGGATCGTGGTTCGGACCTACATCCTCTCCAATATGGCGCTGGACCAAACGCTGTAGATCAGCCATAACCTTGTGCTCACGTTTCGCTTTCTCTTCATAGTTAAACATGGCCAAAGCACGCTTGTCCTCAGCACTGTATACCTGGTTTTCTTTCCTTATACGAATTGCATTCATCCTCTGATGCCTGCTACCACTCATCACATACCCTAGACCCTCAAACCTCTGTATCTCATCAGCAGATAGACCCACTTCACCTCTTCTTGGGATACGCTTCCCTTGTTGCACATACTGAGCAATGGCATCACCTTCACCAGGTCTCAAAGCACCACCATAGCTAATGTGCCCCTCAGCTCTAGGCAAAGGCATTGGACCAACGGCAGGTTCACTGTCAAAAGCAGGTTTCTTTGGTGCCTCCATCAGTTCTTTGAACATCAAAGCTTCAGTATTCATTTCAGCTGTTATAGCATCTTCATCTGCTGCTATTTCTGGTTTGCTCTTTGTATCAATTTCAGAATCCACACTTTCACCGTCAGATTGTGATTTTCTCTTCTTCTTGGAGAGTTTTGCACGGGAGCCTGATTTGTGTTTCCACTTCTTCGACTTGGACTTCTCATTGCTATCATCAGAATCCTCACTCTCGCTATCATCAGAATCAGAATGCCTACTCTTTCTCCCACTTTTTCTGCTTCTGCGACTCTTTCTGCTGCTCTTGCTCCTCTTGGCTGACTTCTTCTTCCGGCGACCACCATTCTCCTCTTCAGAATCGCTTGCACTCTCACCCACATCCTCGACCGGTTTACTGCCGCTATCCACAGGTGACTTAGTACTCCTAGGCATAGAACTCAAGCTGCGTCTCTTCTTCCTCGACTTCAAATCTTCCGATTCACATCCGGGCGAGATATCTGATTCCTTACCTCTTCTACGCTTTGATCTCGAGGTTCTCTTCTTCCTTCTCGACCGTGAATCGTCATACTCGGATTCAGACGGGCTCTCGGACTCGCTACTTCCAGAATCCCCTGACTCAATATCGGGTTGGCCATTCCCGTCTCCCAATTTGTCTTTCCCACTGCAATGGTTCTTATCCGAGCTACCATCTCCCCTCCGTTCCGTCTCTTCCTCATCGGTCCCGTTATCGAGCCTCGGTGGGCTAGGGGTAACCTCCCAAATACAGTAACTCAGCGACTTCCTAAGCTTCTGCCTCTTCAGCCTCCTCTTCTCTTCAAAGCTCAAATCCTTCAATTCCTCGTCGGACTCCAGTTCCTTATCCCTTCCGTTTCGGTAGCCACCACCATCGCAGCGGCCGAACTTAGTCGGGAGAGAATCTAGGTTTTTTTTAGCCCAAGGGCTGGGGCTTCTCCTTCTAGGGCTAGGGTTTGTCCTAGGGCTTCGGTGAGCCGGAGAGATCGAGCGGCGGCTGCGTCCTCGATCCGTCTCCCGACAGCGCTCGTCATACCTGTTGTAGCAAGGGCTGCGACGGCGATAGACGGGGGAAGAATCGGATGCAGGCGCGTGGCGGCCGTTTTGGCGATCCGGCCGGTAACTTCTATCGGGAATTTCGACGATCGAAGCTGGTCTGGGCATTTTTCCTTCTCAGAGATTTTGAGAGAGAAGCAGGGAATTGGTACTGATTGTGATTCTTGTTTGATTTATGTCCTCCGATGGCACAACCGCACAACCCCGATTTTGCAAGCGTGGGCGGTGTGTGGTTATAAGGTTGTTAAACCGGTTTATATCGTTGTGTTGGTTTGACAAGTGGAATGGTACGATCATTGGTATAACTAGTTTGTGTCGGTTCATGCCGGTCTAAAAAAATGTGAAAACAATTAATATTCAATGTATTTAATCATATATAAAACATATTTGTGGATAATTTAGTTACAATCCAACAAATATCATCAACTTTTAACTATAACATTCATAAAATGAATAATAAATTATTTTTTTATTCATTAAAATGATGTCATTTTACTTAGAATGGGTAAGTCGATCATACCGGTCATACCAGTGGTTTCATGACCGGCATAGGTTGAACCAGGTTCAACCGGGTGGCATGCCACCATCATGACAACCATGGTAGTTATTCAATCGAGCTAGTAGGTGTTGTCATGCATTATACCAAGGTTGTCAACCCGCGGGTTGACCCGGACCCGGTCGAGTTAGTGGGTCAAGGGTTAATGGGTCAACCATTTTAGCCCGGTTTGGCCCGGAAATATAGGAAGAGTCATTATATTGTACTTATCCTCATAAATTATATCAAATCTTATCTAACATATGAGTTAGGCTAAATTACAAGTTTGGTCACTCAAATTATATAAATCTTTCATGTTTGCCACCCAAATTACTTTTCTTTCGTACTGACTACTAACTTTACGAATCATTTCACCATTAGTCACTGACCGTTAGTCTCCGTTAGCTCTGTCAAATTTTTAATGATGTGGCAAACAGAACTGCTGACTGGATCGCTAACTTAATGAAATATCAATTTTAAAAAAATAAAAAATAAAAAATATAGACCTCATTCCGCCACACACTTTCTCTTCTCACTCGTCTCCACACGCTCAGCTCCCAACAGAACGACGGCCGCTGCTCTACTCCGTCCAGGTTGTAGTCGCACCAGTCTTCCCCTCGTCCACAATCCTCTCCGTCTTCTTCTTTGGCGTCCCCAAGTCCTCGTCGGAATCGATGCAGATTTGGGGATCGAGACCAACCAAATCCAGCCACCAGTCAAAGCCAAACATGCTTTCTTTCTTTCTTTCTTTCTTCCTCAATTCACAATGCCATCTCCCATCTCCAATTCCTCCACTCAATGTACACAGAAGAAAAGGGGGGAAGCTAGTACCTTGTAGCTCTCTCTGCCTCTTCGATGGCCTTGTAATTAGGGACTTTGCTTGGAAAAATTAGGGATTGGGCTCCAGCAACGAAACCATCGCGCAGCTTTCCCCCTCCACTCACAGTAGGGGGTCTTCCGGCTGGACGATGGTGGGAGCGTCTGGGAGGAGGAGATCCAGATTGAATAGGAGGCGACTCAGCAACAGATCTACAAGGCGCCAGATTACCCATCGTTCGAAGCAAACCCAGATCTAGAAGTTGCTGAGTGATGCACTTGGTCCTTCTCCCATTCGATGACCGGTACTTATCCATCCAGATCTGCTCGTTGGTAGGAGAATCGCCTAGACAGAGGGTGGAAAATGATATGTGCTATGTTTTTATAGAAATTGACCCGGGATAGGCCATCTTCTTCCTCTCGCCGACAGCAACAGATCCGGCAACATTGGCTCTCTATCTCACTTGCATCTCTCTTCATTTTTGTAGGAGATCGTGTCGCCGGTCAGTGTCAATATCACTCTGTTTCTTTGTTTCTTATGGTTATCACCGTCGGCTACCTCTAATTGCTTTTGTTGACTTTGTAATTTGTATGATGAGTAAGGAGGAGGCAAATCAAGGGGGCTCTAAGGAGGAAAGAGGAGAGGAAGAAGACGAGCTAATAAGAGTGCAGGGCCCCCGACGAAGAGCTGGTCTCATAGCGCTGATTTTGGCCTTGACGGTGGCGGTGGAGACTTGTAGCTTTTTCACTTGCCGGCGTCGGAGCAAT